GTTCATGGGATTCAAGGTGTCAATGAACATTGATGGCAACTTCCCTATAAAAATGTAGGATAAGGATGTTCATCTTCTCACTTTCTTCGAGCATGGCAGGATTATATAATTTGCACTATAAATCACCAAAGTGAGAAAAAGTGTGTGCCTACTATTTCTATTAGAAGAATGAAAAAATAGAAGTGTAGTTTTGTAAAGCTTTTTCCATTGTTACCTCTTTTATTTTATCCTTGGTACAACTTCTTCTGCAAATTTTTGAATCTTAACCAAACATCTAAACTTTTTTATGGACATACTCCTGTGGTATTTTTTTTTTATTTTTATTGAAGTAGTTTTGGTAAATTTGTTAAAATACAAGTTGACAAACCAAGTGGTAAGATGTTTGCTACAATTGCATGACATTTTTGTTTGTCAAATTTAAATGTAACAATGGCCGCCGCCGAGCCAAGAGAAAAGATCATCGCTGTCGAGCACATTGTCGAGTAGACATGAAGCGGTGCTCTCGCCGCCTTTTGTTTAGATCGTGACTTTTGGTCGTCACCGTGCCAAAGCCACTCCTACTGCGGTTGAGCAAGCAGTAGTGTTGCTGTCACTGTTCTAATCAAAATCGGAAAAGATGGATGGTTTAAATTACTTTGTAACTTGAAATTGAACTTGTGGGAAGGAGGGGCAAAATTGAAATCAAAGTAAAAATAATCAATTTTTTAAAAATAGGTTTTAGTCAATGTGAGAAAAATCATTATAAGACAGAGGAAGTGTTTTTTTATATTGAAGGGTATCATATATCGATTGTATTGAAAATCATATTTTTACATGTTATTCAATTCTAAATTTTGAAAACAATTTTTAAATTCTTTATATGCACCACAAATCATAGAACAAGTGTATTACTTCGGTGCAACACACGGGTGAAATACTAGTTGATGGTGTAAATTATCGACCGGTATATCGTTTTTAACCGGGTTAAAACGATAAACTAGTCTAAAAAATACACCAAACTATAAATACGGGGATTTTTACGTGGAAACCCAAATCGGGAGAAAACCACGGGCCTTTTTTGGCGGTACCTTGCCAACGGGGGATTTTTTATTAATATCGGGGGTGTGTACATGGTACAAGAATTGGGCTCGAAAGCCATTAAATGGAAGCTATGGAAGCTTCTTTGAAGAAAATATACACTATACATTATTTCTAGAGAGAATGAGTAAGTTGCAGGGAAGGAGAGTGTGAGAGAGGCCTCCTCAACCTAGAGGGGGAGCCCTCCTTTTATAGGGGTGGAGGGAAGCATATTCGGGGAATATTCTCTTATTCCCTCATTTTATTAAACAGGTCTGGTTTGACTGTTCTTCGTAAAATAATTGGAAAATGTGGGCCGAGCCACGTATTATTTCCCATCAATAAGTCCTCCACTTTTTTAAGTTGTGAGAATCATCAACTTTGAAAAAGTAAACAAGTCCTCCGAGTGCTATCTTCGATCTTCGTACTTTGGATTCTTGACCGGTTGATATTGTTGCTAGTCCTCCGAGTCTTCATTAGTTCTCCAATTTCTTGAATCAGAAGGTTTTCCTGCAAAAATAATATGTACAACATTTTTTTTTCTTGACCGGCCTATGCCGTGCTCAAATAATTTTATTATCTTTACCGAGGAGCTCGGTGTTAGGGTGATTAAACTTCGCGTGAATAATTATCGTAACAAGAGCGATGTCAGTTCGATTAAGCAACGATGCTTCGAGTAGTTATACGACACCGGAGTTAGTACGATGAAGCGGCGGTGCTTCAAGTAGTTATTTCGTCGAGACCGATGTTAGTATGAACTAAGTAAACGATGCATGACGAAATTAGTATACAGACGACATTGACTTTAGTTAATAAGAATTGAGTACGCTGCCGCAGCTTTGTTGAAGATCAGTATTAGCCCGGCTGACTAATGTAGATATCTTCATGTCTCGCGGAGACCATCTTCGATCAAAGTGCCTCAGATTGAGGGCTTAAATGAATCGGGCGTCCCCGATATGAGCTTGGCTCATTTTTTTGCTGAAACCGATGTGCAATCGGTGTACCCAATTCGATTGGGCTCAGGCTTATTGGAAAATATGTGTAAGACTGGTGTGAGACCAGTGTACCACTTCGACTGGGTCACATATTTTCTTTATTATACTGAGCAAGACCGGTGTAGTAACCAGCGTGCAAGGCCAGGCCTGTGTCTCAGTCTTCCAATAAGATAATGCTGCTGGCCGGGCTAGATCAACATTGGAGAATTAACCATGTCGGATGGTTTCGAGCCCTCTCCAAGGCCCAAAATGCACCCTTCTTCCAGGGCCCCCTCTTCCGGGTGATTAAGTCTTTTAATGGCCCTTTGATATTTACTATCCCGGGAAGGCCTTAGCTCACCCCCCGTTCAAGTCTTCCCTGAGAAGGGGGAAATAGGATGCGCCACGGTGGACGATCCCT